GTCAATATGAAGGCCGTAGTATACAACATTAATACAACATTTTTTATTTATTTTTTTTTATCCAGGGTGTATTTGGATATATGCAGAAGAACAAATGGGGAGGTTTTCTTTTAGTTTATTTAAAGGAGTCATCGGATGCTAGATTCACTTTTATATGTTGTTTGAACATAAATGTGTGTTGGCAGTGTGTGCACACGTCTACCCTATAATGATAAAAATCCACCCAGTGGTTTTTATTTAATCCCTAAAAATAATATCCCCTTTTCCAAATCAGGCCATTCTCAGCTTCTTGTCTGTGTGACATCACACAGACGAAGGCCGCTCCCACGATAGTTGATTGACACGGCCGTCTTACCTTAGACCCGCCCTGAGTGAGCTGTAACAGTCCGATCGCCATTGTATCGATGCCGGAACAGGGACGTAGACAAGAATGTCTCCATAGAGGTGTTTTGTTGTTGGATGTAATAATGAACATAGCAGTCGTCATTTACTCCCAACATCAGAGCCGCTGAAGATGCAGTGGATTACTTTTGTTTGCGAAGGGAATGCACCTCCTGATCTACCTAAATGTGTCCATATGTTCGCGCGAATCATTTGTGATCCAGCTTCACCTACAAGTGAGTATAAGGGTTTTTTTATGAATCTTTGCAACCACCTTTCCTAATAACGTGCTAGTTAGCAAGTTTCACGGCTAAATGCAGCTAAAGTAAACAGTCTCTCAGAGCACGGCTCGTCACCCCACAGAAGAGAGGGGCGGGGTGAGCATTTTTCAGCAAGGATTTTTGAGCAAGGATTTCATTTTTCCTTGACAGGACAGTTAAGAGATATGATAGGAAGTGAGTGGGAGAGAGAGATGGGGGGTGGGAACGGGAATGGTCCACGAAGTGGGATTCAATCTCGGGACACCCGAAGAGCAACTGCGCCATATTGAGAAAATGCACCATTGAGAAATTTTAACCAAAGTATGGTATAGACTTTTCATTAAGACCCTAAAATCACATCAACTTGTGGAAAATGGGCATCCGATGACCCCTTTAAAGATAAAAATTAATTATATTTAACTGTTTTATTATACGTTTACCAAATGTGTTACATCAGTGGTTCCCAACACTGCATGTTTTTCATGTCTCCTTAATCAAACACACCTGATTCAGATCATCAGCTCATTAGTAGAGACTCCAAGACCTGAAATTGGTGTGTCAGAGAAAGGAGACATGCAAAATGTGCAGTGTTGGGGTGCCTCCAGGACCAGGGTTGGGAACCACTGTGTTACACTTTCATTTGTATTTTGTTTTGTTTTGCCAAGCACAGGCAAAATAAATTATTTTATTGTATTGATAGCCCTGATTTTATTGATTGCACTGATTTTGAAAGCATAAAATATAAATAAATTAATTAAATCTGTTTTAAAGGTGTATACATCTGATATAACTCTAATAGTGGGTAGAAAAACATACACTGTCACTTGAATACAAAGTAAATGATGTTTCAATATTTCATTGAATAATGTATTTGCTTGTCCCTATTCTGGCAATCCTAGAATGCACTGCATTGCTGTCTATCTAGAGCATTTCAGTACAGTCATTTGTAAGGTTCTAGTTCAGTTATTGTATACTTTGAACAGAAGAACAATGTGAAATAAGTTGTATCATTGTGTTAACAACATTTTTTGTAGCCTTTATAAAGTTATGTTAAAGTAGTTGTCAGTTGCTTTTGGCACTAAACATGGAAGTGAAATAATATTCTTGTTTCCAGATAGTGTTTTGTTTTTCTTGGTCCATAGGTATTTGTGCGTTGAGGAGAACAGATTGGCCACTTCAGAGCTACCGCTATCTTGGGAGAAAAGTCACTGCTTCTAGCACTTTGTGTTTAGCCATATGTTCATCTTTCTAAAGCAGTGCGTGGGTTTGTGTACATGATAGGCTTGTAATGGTTGCCTTATATGTTCAAATCTCTGAGCTGTGTGTGTGTCCCTTCGAGGAGGCTATTAAGGGTATTGCTCATTATCTAGCAGGCATTGATTGTGCAGTGTCCGGCATTCAGAATGCTTCTGCGCTGCTAATTGCATCTGCACAATCACATTGAATTGAAAGATAAGACTTCTCTCATCACAAGATTACAGGATTTAATTGTGCACAGAGTCTCACATACTCTTTCAGAAACATTATTGCTTATGGTTACAATAATGAAGATAGTAATGGAGTTGACTAAGATATGAGAGATGAAGCAAAATATAGATCTTTTTTACACAAGCACATTCACTCACTCACTCACTCACTCACACACACA